TCCTGCAGCTGGAGCTCTCCAGCACGCTTACACTTATTTCTACATTATTTTCAATCGGTAAGTTAGGGTTTTGCCCCAAACAACAAATGCATTTGAAAATTTTGTAGCTGAAATGTTTGATTATGCTGTGGTTCATATTTTCAACTATTAGCTTGCTACTTTTCTAATTCCACTGATCAATTTCTGTATAATCTAGTAGTTATTTTGCTGGAGGATCTGACGCATATTCCTCTTCTGTGGGGAAGGAGACGAGGTTTACAAACGGTTTTTTCGATAGAAGAGCTTTAAATTTCACTTGCAGAAAAGTGTGGAAAACTGAAAAAGCTGAAAATGCACTAAGGAGAAAAACGATCGGAAACAAACTGCATTTCGTAAAGAACCTCAAAATTAGCTGACAATGTTAGATTTTGGTGAAAAGCCGAAGCCCGGAATAATGAACCCGGAAAAACAGGTGTTTGAGGCGTGATTAAGAAGCTATATTGTTTGTGAAGCTTCAAGTCTGATTCGCAGCTAACTTCTTTCTGTTCATTTATTGCAGTTGCGGTCTCAAGTACCTTATGCTTGTGACGATTCCAAGCATCCACTTCCAGTTATTAGCAAGTCGAAAGTTTTTGAGTGCAGACGATCGCAGTTCCCACTTCGTGAGGAAGACGACACTTCTACCAAACCTTGAAGAATGTTTACACTCAGTTAGTTTGCTGCTGTCTGACCTGGTTCTCGTCAAGACTTTATTAATATGATCCAGATAGGGCCGGTACGGCCCGTACTGGTCTTCCTTTTTGCCCCTGACTGTATTGGCTGTTGTTTACAGTCCTCTCCGCGAGCTGTTTATAGATTTTTCTTGATCTGATGCTCATAGGGTCTTTACGGCCCGTACTGCCCTTTCTACTTGTATCTATAGGGACGCACGCGAAAAGCCTCCGACTCTGGGTCGATAATCTGTAACCTTGACTAACGATGAATATATGCTGTTGTATTAGTGTATGTAATAAAGTTACCCGGTCGGATCGTCGCCTCAAGATCGACCTCGCACCCACTCGTCCAGCGCATAGTTCTCGTCCCTACATCTCGTTAATTAAAACCCCCCTTCCACCTCTTCGTTTCGGTTCAGACAATTCAACGTCGGAAACAACGACGTATCATAAATGATTTGTAATGTATGTACAATTCGTAGTTCGCCGTTGATGTGATTGAACTATTCGATTTAATAACTCAGATTTGAGAAACGAGAACTGGTCGGTTATTGACTGATATGAGAATTGGAACTGATTAGAATTTACTGGGAAGACCCGCGTGGTAGTTGACAGGCAGAAATACTTTTTTTTCCAAGCAGAAAGAGAAAAAATCATCTGACAGAGGACAAGGAAAATTAATGCATCGGCCGGAAAGGAATCGAATCACTCCTCTTCACGGTCGGACGCAACATGTTACCGCTACACTACCGCTCTCGTGCTCCAAATTCAGCTTGACAGCACATCTACTGCGTATCTGCCTTTCAAGGCAATGTGCACCTTTCTTGACTTTTTTGTTTGTAGCAGCTTCTTAGTCGGCTTTTCGCGGGTTTTCGTTGCCAATCTCTTCTGCGCTCTAGACTAACCGTAAATTAACACCCGAGAACGGTCTCTAAATCAGTTGCTATTCGCTTGTTCATAACTTGACATTTCTTACTCCTCACGTCACCATTACCTTTAGATCCCAAGCGCTGCACTCTGTGCTATTGTCTGCTATTTGCATGCTTTAACATCAGTAAGTCACAAACATATTTTTGTTACTCAGTTTGCGCTCACAGCCAACGCACCACGCCACACTACAATCCACTACACGAATCCTAAAACATAAAAATATTTATTAAGGGAATCGAAAAGCTTCGTCTGAGTCCTACTTGCGTCAGTAATCCTGTATTCCAAACGTTTTCGAGT